AATAAAAATAAAGATAAAGATAAAGTTATAAAAATAAAGATAAAGATAAAATGAAAAAAGATACAAAAAAATATAAAAGAATAAAAAAAAAAAAACAAGGAAAAAAACCAACTCAACAACAACAACAACAACAACTCAATTTAATGCAAAGCTGCTACTACTGTCATGGACCATGGATGTGTAAAGAATGTCATTGCCATGAGATACTACATAAATATGTAAAAAGTGAAAAATATTAAAAATTTAAAAAAATCATAAAATAGAGAGAACATTGTGTGTGTGTGTGTGTGTGTGTCTTTCATGCGCAAGAAAGACAACAGATAGCAAACTAAATAAAATAAAATAAAATAAAATAAAATAAAATAAATAGGCAAAGAAAGAAAAATAAAAAAAATTAAAAAAGTGTAAAGAGAGTATGTGTGTGTATGTGTGTATGTATGTATGTTAAATAAATGAGAAGAGTTTTTGTGTGTTTAAAAACTCAAAACGTTCAATGCTTCTTTTACGAAACAAGAAAATCCTCCTTGGGTATGTACATGGGTATAACGAAAGCGTCTCTATATATATATATATATATGTGTGTGTGTGTGTATGTACATGTATATATATAACGCATCGCCTTTTTGGCCTTTTATGCTATTCTCTATCTGCAAATTCATATAAGCTTTGCGTACGGTACTGTGATAAAATATATCGTTGTTGGTGGTTGTTTCGTTTCCTTTTCGTTGCGTGCGTGCGTGTGCATGTGTGGTGTGTATGTATGTATGTGTATGTATGTGTATGTATGTATGTACATTTAAACATACATTTAGTACGTATATATATATATATATATATTATTATTATTATTAAATACGAAAAGATAAGATTATACAGTGAGTATGAGTGTGTGTAAAAATGAGAGCATGAGAAGAGAAATGAGAGAGATGAGAGTGTGTGAGAGAGAGAGAGAGAGGAAAGGAAAAAACATGCATTCATCATATACATGCAAAAGTGGAGAGTAAACAAAAAAAAAAAAACAAGAAAAACAACTAAAAATACGTGTTTAATATAATTATAATTGAAGTTGACATTTTCTTGTATGGTAAAAAAGGGGAAGAAGAAGAAGAAGAAGAAGAAAAAAATAATAAGAAGTGCTCATACTCTATATTTAATTTATAAAACTGTGTATGCAGTAATACATAATACAATATATACGTATACATACACACACGTACACACGTACCCATATATATATATATTTATATATAAATATATATATATTGAACAACATAGGAGAGAAGGGGAAATTCAAACATTTTCCATTTAAAAAAAGAAAAATTGGAAGTTATGCGAGTAAGAGTGTGTTCTTATATAGAATTATAGTCACAAATGGAGAATGCGTGTGATTTCACAGAAATACTGTGTCGAATAATATAATATTAATAATAAAAATATTAATAATAATATTAATAATAACAATAATAAAAAGGAAAAGAAAAAAAAAAAGATAATACAATTCGCAAGCAAACGAAAAACGAATAAAGAAGAAGAAGAAGATGCTACACAAACATTTACTCTCATCCCTCTGTCATATATATATATATATATAAATAAATATATATATGCATATAATAAACTACACACACACATACACATACACATACACRACAGTCTTCTCGTTAGAGGTCCTATTATCATTTAATTCTAAACTTACATTAATTTTATCTAAAAAATTCTTGTTAAATTAAATACCACATACACACACACACACACACTTTCTTCACACAAAAGAAGAAAAAAAGGTACTAAAAAATTTCACGATTCATTCTTCACACACTTCAAAATTCATGATTTATATATATATATATATATCCTAGTTACAAGACTTCTTTTGTATCGTTTTGAATTAATGAGGTATAATAATACGAAATTTGAAAAATGAAACAAATTAATATTTACAGTTCACCGATGAAGGACAATTTTCAGTTAGAAACGATCTATTAATTCGTAATAACGTTTTAGAACAGTAACTAATATATCACAGAGAACATTATTGAGAAACAAATCATTCGATTTTTCTTCTTGATTTTTAATAATATTTTGATTATTTTAACAAATAAAAAATATATATTTTTAATCAATATTATTTCAGACTCATTAAGGAGGAGATATACATATAACACAAACAAAGAAACAAAATGGAAGATAAAAGTGAGTATCAACGAAGAAGGATATTTTGAATATCTTCAATATTCGTCTAATTTATTTGTTCTAAATTTAATGACGTTTAATAAATACGAATGAAAGGTGTAAGAGATATGTTTTTTTTTTTTTTTTTATATATATATTAATTTTTGTAGACGTAAATTTAAACAATTATCCGGATTGTACAGTTCGTTCAACAACATCGATTAGATCTAAAAAAATATATGAATCTTTGAACAATAAAACAAATACAACTTGTTGTTTGATCAACAACAAATCAATTTGTAATAATGAATATCAAAAAAAGGTAAAGGAATATTTTAACGATGATTTAGATAACATTAAATATTCTCGTGAAGATGTTGTAAATGTTGCTGAAGAAAGAAATATTCATCATATCGATTTCAATTCTGTTCAAAATACTAATACTACGAATTTGTTTGAAAAACACGTTCCTTTGAGGATTTTAATAAAACAGATGATTGATGAAATATTTGGAAAATCTTCAATCAACGATAAAGAAGAAGAAAACGTTGAAGAAATTGATTTGCATAATACAAGTGATAAAATTAATCATTCTGAACAATCGTTGAAATTAATAATAAAAAATGAAGATAACATAGATTCGACAATTGATACAAATGATAATACTGCAACTTCTGATGAAACTTTTTCAAATCCAACAAAGTGCAATGATAAATTAATTTCCATAGCTGAAGAAACGGAAAATTATTCTTCGTCTAATTGCAATATTGTTGAAAATACGGGAACAAATTTAAGTAAATTATTAAAATACGATGAAGAATTCAATAAACGATTAAATAATGATAACAATAATGATTCTTCAACAATTATCGCTAAAATTCATAAAAATACAATTAATCCTTCTGTTTTATTTAATATAGACGAAAATAATGATGAAGAACTCGATGATGATTCTTTAAAGGATTTCGTCAAAATGGAATCGTTATTGATAAATCAAAAAACAAATATCGATAATAAATGTGTAGATCTTGAAATTGTGAATGATTCTATGAATAATTTAAGTTTCGATAGAAAAGAGGATCAAACTATGAATATTTTTTATATTTCGAATGAGAAAAATATCATAGAAAACAATGATGAATCGTTTCATGAACAATCAGTAAGTTGTATTTTTAATTTGTTCAATGTTATTTCTTGTTTGTTTCATTGAGTTCATTTCATTTGATATTTTTTATAATAAATTATAATTATTTGATAGAACTTATCAGAAAGGGAGAAGGAAATAAAGGAAATCACTACGTTTAATGATAATTCGATTAGTAGTATGTATTAATTATTATAAAAACAAATCTGTATACTTTTTCAATCATTACGTAATTGCAATTAGAACAAAAAACCATCTTTTTCTTTAGACATTGATTCGTCTACGAAGAAAAAGAAGAAATTCATCAATGAAGTAACAATTAATTTGCAAACACCTTGCAAAAGACGTACATGTACCACGTTTTATCAAATTTCATTGCTCAAACGTACACCAAAATTATCTAAGAATACAAGAATTGTTACTCCTCGCAAAAATTCGACAGAATTAACACATAAATCGATTAAACATGCGAATATTTCTTCAACGAATCTTACAAACGTATCGAAAAAGAAAACAACAACATCGAAAATCTCGAAGCCTCAACAAGAAATTCGAGGTAATCATTTAAATAATACATCTTCATATTTAAGTAAATGCATTTTGGTCCGATTTTTTCAAACATTTAAACAAAGTATTTTTGTTTTGTCAGCGAAGCTATTTAAATCGCGTGACATAAATAAAAAGCAACAGATGTTGATACCACAATTTATATTCACACCTGCCACTCCTGAGTAAGGATTAGTCAAAAAAAAGAAAAAAAAAGAAAAGACTTATTTAGTTACATATTAAAGAATAGATTGAATTATTGAAATACTCAGAAAATTGTATAGAATATTGTTACTATGATTATAATGAAGCAGTCAAATTATTATGTATCCATTACCTAATTATAATTTAAACAAAGTTGACTACTACTATTTTCACGATCATATATTTTAATAAACATTTTACAATTTTTAGAAGACTTGTTATATATTGTTTTAATAAAGCCACTACACCGATGGAAGACAAAACCTTTAATTTAATCAAGTACAATGAGAGTAATAGTATTTGCTCATATAGAAATAAATAATACACATCAGAACTTAAATATTAGATTTACCATAAAATTCACATAGTAAATATATTGAAATAAAAATTATGTTTCTTGTTCCATTGATTGGTTTTGATGTAAATTGTATCTACGTTGTAGTTCTTCCTCCATTGCTTCTAATTGTTCTCTACTTTGTTCTTGAGTCATTTGTTCCATTAATTCATGATTGTATGTAGAATGTAACATCAAAGCCAATACTCCAGCTCTAGTAGCCATATTAGATCTAATTTGTCTTTCTTGTTCAACGAGTTCATCAATTTTTAACCATTGTCTTACTCTTTCCATATCTATTTCTGCACGACGCAATTTTTCCCAAACATAATGTTTAACACAACTCTTTTTTGGAGCACGACAAAATTCACCAGTTGCATCAAATACATTAGTAACCAAGGGACATCCGCAAACTTCTGTTTCGCTGATCTTTGGATCTTTACAATGTTCAGGACAAAGTACACGTAATCTTTTACAATAAGTTCTATTAACAGGATTATAAAAATCACAAAACATTACTTGTCCTTCGATACGTGTTTTAAAAATGGAGCCAAATGATGCTTGCGATTCATACTATAAATAAAACAATAATATCAGTAAAACATCATAAGAAAAGCAGAAATATTTTTAAATGTATATTATTTAACAACAACAAAAAATTACCTTATTAAAACATTTTTCCATATGTTTAATAGCTGTTCTAGAATGTATCTCATGTCCACAAGTGATACAATACATGCTCATTTCCGTATCATCATTATCATCGACTTCTGCTTGTGGATCTATAGTTGCGTGTTTAGCACGTTCTACTATTCTATCTAATTCTGCATGTCTTTTATCTAATTCCTGAAGTATTCTTCTAACATCATTTTGTTGTTTCCTAACTGATTCTAAAGCTCGTCTATTATTCTGTTCAGCTATACATGGTGTTAACGACCATTCTTGTATACGTTGTGGCAATACTTGATAAATTCTATTAGTTGCAAGTTTTAATCCACATTCGTCTGAACAATATTTACTACCTGGACGTGATTGTTTCGTACAAGCAGGACCATAGCAATGTCGTGGTGGTTCCAAATGTTCATTTCTCTCATTACTTGAATCTCTTCTACGTTTTTTATTAAATTTTAAACCTTTGGTAAAACTTTTAGATGGTTTCAATGGATCACCCAATACTCTACAAGTTCTTTGTATACACCGAAGTTTTAATCGTACAGAAGGACCAAATTTTTTCAAATGTCTACAAGCATCACATTTTCCACAATTATCTGTACGAAGACAACCTGTACATTCTCCACATCGTTTAGATGATTTTTTAACCAATGTTGGATCCCAAGGTGCATCATATTCATATCTAAGTGAACGTTCCTTTTCCTTGTACTTTTTATGCTTTCGATCTTCCTGATCTGTCTTACGTGGTTTATATCGTGTAATCAATGTTGGATCTTCTTCTTTACAACGCTATAAAATAATCATAATAAATAGATTTCAATTAGAAAAAGAATTACATATATAATATGTTTAAATTTTTATCTAAACTTACAATGCAGAAAAATTGTTTAATATGTTTAGCATCTTTCTCAGTTATATTAATACAATCTCCGTGGTACCATTCTTCGCATGCATCACAACCACTGTAACAAATGACAAATATAGTATTTATAGAAATGATATAAAATTGTACAGTTATATAATTTTATGGGAACTTACATCATAAAACGTGAACTGTCAGAACTTCTACAAATACAGTAAGCTTGTCCATCTTGTTTTAATAAAGTAGCTATTTTACTTTTTCTTTCTGGCAGCATAAACTGTTTTGCAATTTCTTCTTTCTGTTGGATAAATATGTGTGATTGCAATTACATATTAATTAAGGTATCATCGTAATTATATAAAATATATACTTACAGATAAACTATTTTGCCTTTTCTCCCCCATAGTTAGAATGATTATACACAATACAGATGTAAATGAATCTTACAAATTGCTAATATATCTTTCAATATTTTCTTTAACACAATGCTTTTAATTAAACTATGCAAATGTATTATTTTTTACTATTTTATAAGTAAACAAATTTGATATCTACTACATAAAAACTACTTATATTGTCTTTTTTTTTATTCATTATTGTTTACAAGTCACATTCAATTAGTTTTCATCGTAGCGATATCAGCGACGAATGCGGATAAAATAAGAATTAAAAAATTAATTAAAAGGATCTTATGCTTTCATTCGATTAATCGTATCGCGATATATTATTCGTGTTATTTTGATTCGATATCAAATAAAATAATTCTGTTAATTGACGTTATAACAAAAATAATATAAATGCATAAAAATAATGACAAATTAAACGAATATTATTTGATTTAACCCTTTAACGTGTGTAATATCATTTTACTCTACTGCGCATGACTGTGCACTAACCTCACACCGCAGTCTATATGATTTGATAGTTTTTTTGATTTCTCCAACGATAGTTCTGAGGATTGAATTGTTAAAGTTTTATATGATAATTATAAAAAATAAAAAAAAGGGAAATCAAATATGTCTTTAATGAGAATATTATTCTACTATATGTTTGGACCACGTCTTTTTAAAATTTACGAAGTAACGACAACTGGACGACTTATTGATGTAACTATCTTATTTATTTGATTATATTTACTTGCAATTTTTGGAGGTTATGATTATTTTAATTTACAGAAATCATATAAACCTAAAGTATTAGAACGATGGAGTGATCGAGTAATAATATCGGTGAGTTTTTAATACCAAATTTTTCATATAAAAATACCTGTCAAATATTTTATGCTAATTTGTATAACGTTATTTGAGATGTAAGTATTCTGTCAATGTGTGTACTTGTTTCTGTATAATATTGTCTCTAGTTATATTTAAATACTAATTGCAATAAACTAAAATATAAATTTTATTAACATTCATATCAATATATATTTTATGTAAGTTATTACTTTATTCGTTTATTTGTCTATTGCAATGAAATCTGTAATTATAAGTACATGTATTTTATTACAAGAATATGTGTACATAAATGATTTTTTAAATTTTATTTTTCAGTATACTGCAGTTTGGTCTATAAGTCCGTATGCATTTGCGTCTGCTGCTGTATTTATGTATCTGCAAAGTTATTCTGTGATGGATATAGCATATTATTTAGGTCAAGTTGCAGCTGGTGCAAATGTCATTTTATTTACTTCATTAGCAGTACGTGGTTGTTCCAGAGCTAATAATGCAGTCTATTCGAAATTCTTAAAAGCATTAAAAGATTATCAAGCAAATCCTAATACAACAACTAAACAAGAGTTATGCAAATATGATTTTGACTTTCGTTCTTGGCCTGTAGAATTTCAAGTTTCTACACTAACAGGGTAATCTATTAAAAAGTAATTATAACAATAATTATTTTAATGTCATATGTGATGTTATATATTTTTTTATTAGAGAAAAGAACAGGGAAAAGTTGAGACTGGAAGAAATGAAATCTAATAGTGGAATAAGAGTAATCTTGTCCTTCATCATAGCATACAGTTTCGCTTTGAAATTAATTTATCCTGGCAGTGTCTCTGTCATTAATTGGGCATTACGTAAGTTGATACTTTTTATATCGAACATATATATTTCTTGAATAATTAGATATTTCTATTGTAGATCCAATGCTATTAAAGGGTAGAGTAGATTTAGTAAAACAGGGAGGAGAAAGATATAAACTGGTAACTTCTGATAGAAATCAAATCGATACAATATTTATTGATCAAAGGAAAAAGTAATATATTAATTTCTTTTTTCTGTCTATGTTAAAGTAAAAAATAAGAATTATAATGATATCGTATAGATATTATTCTTTTTTTTTATAGAACTACTAATGGTGATATACTTGTCATCACGTGCGAAGGAAATTGTGGATTTTACGAAACTGGTATTATATCAACTCCATTAAACAAAGGCTATTCTGTCTTAGGATGGAATCATCCAGGTTTTGGTAGCAGTACTGTAAGTATTGTGCTTGCAAATGAGTGAGCTAGATGAGTATTGTAGTAGAACACATTCCGTCGAGAAGAATTGCTATTACTGATAAGTTATTTTACTATTATCACTAATATAAAAACTTAATCTAATTATATTTTATCTATTAACTTTTGTACGTGAAAAGATCATTTTAACTTAAAATTAGAATATATTTTATACATATAGTTGTAGTAATGGCAAGACTTCTTCTTCGGCCAATCTATATTCATATATGACTAACAGTAAGACATCAAACTGACCACAAAGGGTGAACCATATCCAGTACAAGAGGAAAATGCTGTTGATTGTATTATGCAATTTGCTAAACATCAATTAATGTTCCCTGAGAGAAAAATAATACTTTATGGATGGAGTATTGGTGGATATACAGCTACTTGGGCTGCCATGAATTATCCATCTATTCACAGCTTGGTAATTATTATTATTATTATTATTATTTAATCAATATTAAATTTATTACAACAATCACTTATTACAGGTATTAGATGCTACATTTGATGATATACTTCCATTGGCTATTATGACCATGCCCTTACTAAAAGGAATAGTGCAAGATGTTATAAGATTACATTTTAATTTAAATATAGCAGAACAATTAAATAGGTATAATATATTTTTTTTCTATCATAATTTAATATACATTTGTAACATACATAATTATTATAAAGTATCTAATAATGAATATATAAAACAAGGTACGATGGGACAGTATTGTTAATAAGAAGAACAAACGATGAAATTGTTTGTAGTCCTGCTAATATTTTAGCTGGAAATCGTGGCAACATGTTGCTGACAAAATTATTATTAAGACGTTATCCATATCTTTTCTCTGATGATTCCGACTCATTAACTATTTTAAATAAATTTCTTTCCGCAAATATTAATGGCAGGAGTAAGTCAAATTTAATTAATAATAATAAAAAATGCAATATATTAATTTTGTAAAATATATAATTGCATAAAAATATTGTATGCATATATTTTTGTTTTCAGGATTGATAATAGAGACACTTGAGATTGATGACAAACATTGTTTGAAATTAATAGCAAACGAGAATCAAAAAAATCATGAGAAAATATCTTATCCTTGTAATCTTGGTCAGAATTGTGATATTAAAACCAAACAACAACTCACTATCTTTTTGGTAGTTATTGAATTATATATTAAAAGGAACAATGTTAAATTAAAACGAAATATTTGATATATGTGTGTTCTAATTTTGATTTTTTTTTTTACAGACAACCATGTATATGAAAGATCAACCATCATCACATTGTACTCCATTGTCTGTAGAGCTTTTTCAACCTGGATGGGATCCAGTATCAGCAATCTCTATGAAATAAACTTTGTAACTTTCTACTTATGCCATAAGAAATTAGAAGATTATGGTTTTTATCTGATATTATTCAAAACTTTTTAATAATATAACTTCTCTTTAATCTTAAGTTTAAGAAATAAGTACTATTTATTATTGAAGAAATTAATTTTTTTCTTTTTTTTTTTTTTTAAGTTTTTACTTATTCTTAATATTTTAAAAATCAACTATTAAACATTCGAAACATTTGCATATATAATATATATTTATTCGGTTTTGTTTTTATCTGAAAATCAAATATTGTATTATTTATGCAAAGGACAGTATAATGCATTTAAAAAAAAAAAAAAATATGCCATAAAACAATTTAAAACGATTATTATAATAACTTACTGTCGTGTAAGTTTTATCGATTTATTATGAAATTTTTTGTTTGTTTGTTTTTTTTTTTATATATAAAAATATTTTTTAATCAATTTTTTTTTATAGTGTAGAACACATAGTTGACAGTTACAAATTGAATTTATAKTKYGYA